CTCTTACATAAAACCAAATGCAGAGTAAAAGGTAAATCAGAATGTAAAGCTCCTCCACTGTTGCTTCTGTTGTTTGCTAGATTTGTATGAAAAATTCACATGACCCTACTAGAGAGAACTCAAAGACTCAAAGACACAGGTTAATGACTGGGGGGTATTCCACAAAGCAGGATTTCTCAGTTTAGCTAGATAACTTAAACCAAGTCAAGCCTGCCCAACCGGAAAAGAGCTGAGGGACATTCAAATTGGACAGTCTTCATATTGTGAGATAACTTATCACGAGAACATACTGTCATGTTGCCCACCCCTAGTTCTGGGTTTGGATTTGTAACCATTCCCTGCTTTCCACACCGTAACGGCATTAGGTGGGAAAGGTCCGTCCAGCTAACACGCAAAATAATCAAACACAGACCACTGTGTGACCTGTAGGGGGCAGATGAGTCTCAAAAAAATTACAGTGCTGCAACCAAAACACACCCACAGGAAACAAACTGATATGCATGTCACGCAAGGACCTCACTTAAACACTCCACAACTTTACCACTTTTATCCTGATTTTAACCCTGATTCTCAGTCTGGCTGAGTATGTGCTGATCAGCTCTAGTCTGAAATACAACCAGCTTACAATAAAACCAACAAGGCCACCAATACTTTTTTACTGTTATTTGCCCAACTCGAAAAACTCAGGGATCATCGAAAAGTAAAAAAGAGTGGACTTAGTCACAAACAATAAAAGATTATCTAACATTGCCCTTTTCTTACAGTTTTCAGAAGACACTTTACTTTTTATTTTGCAACTGAACATAAAAATCAATAAGCCAGAGGACAATCGACCGATAAAGTCAATCAGTCTGTGTGCTGCCTCAAATCTATATGTTCATCCACACATACAGTAAAATTTACACAAGATAGCCAACAGCTCATTCAAAAAAAAACACTTCATGTTTCCAGACCCAGTTCGTGTCACTGGACTGACTGCATGTGCATGACAGGTGAATACATGTTCAAGTTTTATATATATTATTTGCAAAAGTCTGCAATATGCAAATGAGCATATTGATAAATCCCAAAAATGTTCACTGTGTGCAGTATTTTAATGTTTCATGTAATCCAACAAAAGTTACCTTAGTAACTTTTAGTAACTGAACTATGGAGAAAATCTGTTTGAAAGCGCACTTTTGTAGCTACTGTTGCGAGGCTGGAAAAGCTTTACAGAACACTAGCAAAAATCCCATCACACCCAATGAGAAACAGCAGAGCACAACTAATTCCACAGCTAACACTACTAACTGAGTCACCTCACTCATTTTAGCTGGAAAAGAGAGAGTTTGTGAAGAGTTAGTTAGCTGATACCAAACAATGTAAATTCACTAAATGATGCAGAAAATTTTATTCCATTAAATCTACAGGAGTAGAGCGTAAAATGAACCTGAGCTTGCTTGTCTGGCCTTTACACGGCTGCAGTAGTCTTTCTACACTCCTTTCTTTGGACTAAAGAGTAGTGACAAGGAGTTGATTCCAAGAGAGTCGATTCTTTGGCTCCAAAATGTCTGGTAGTCGGGGTCAACTCTTGGCCAATGACTTGGAGGGTTGAAATGTTTGAAGTTGACTCTTTAATTCTGTGTATTTCTTCGTATTTGGTTCAAGGGGCATTTAGATGGAGGTGTGCGTAATTCAGGAAAGAGTTTCAATAGCGTGAGTTTGTTTAATCACCAAGTTTCATTTTCTTCATGATTAGGGTCGCAAAACACAACTAGAATTGGTTCAAGGAATTAAACAAAAAATAAACAATATTTTCACAGAACACTGGAGGGAATAAAGTTGGCTTCTTATTCAAATATTCCATCCCACCTTAAATAGTGCTACAGTTACATTCTGGCACCTGTGGAACCACCGCATCGTTCAAGATGGAACAGAAAACTCGGACAAGAAGTCTTGTGAAAACAGAAACAGACGATAACATTCACGTGCTCCAGAATGAAAACTTTTACTTTAAAACTGGTTTTCTGGTTAATAATGTTCATTTTCAAAGCATTAAGACTGATGTATTGATTTTTTCAATACATCGTTTCATCTTGTCCCCTACGAGGAGTCGACTCCATCGATTCCAGCAGCAAGAGCTGAGAGTTGTGTCGTGCATCACTACCAAAGAGATAAGAAACCAAAACATAGCAGGCTCGACACTGCCCTCTGGTGGAGAGTTCAGACATCTAATAGGGCCTACTAACCATTCCTACGAAGAAATTTCTTCTTAAAACGCTCTTTTTTCATGAGTATTCTGACATTTACCAGTGTTTTCTTATTTTGGATTTGTTCTTAGGTATGAACATAATCTACATACTCAGAGCACAAAGATGAGAACAGTTCTGAGGTTTAAGAACAGGTCATGAATCTGACGTAGACTTTTTCTTAAGACCCTTGTCAAGAACACATTTAAGAAAAAACTTAGGATGATATTGGTGAATGAGGCTAGGGCTGAAAGATGAATCATTTTTACATCGCAAATCGCAATTTAAAAGAGTGCAATTTAATTAGAGCCATTTTTTATTAGCAATGATGTCTTAATTGGGGAACATTAACCTAATATCAGAGCTGTAAACTGCCTGCAGATGAGTCAGACCAATCAGAAGCAACCAAACAACTAAACGCTGTGACATCACAAAACAACTAACTGGCAGTTTGGCATGTTCAGTGTTCAAGTCTCAATCCAGAAAAACTAGATGTTCTAGTCTTACTCACCAAAATAACAGGACTTTAATTTACAGAAAACTTTAATTTACAGCAAACAATCACAATTTACATCGCAGTCGCAATAACGATCAGAAAAATCAAAATTAGATATTTTTCATAATTGTTCAGCCCTGATTGAGGCCCATAGTTCTTGTGCTGTAACATTAGAGATAAGATAAATTATATTAATATTGATCATTTATATTAAATTATATATTTTTTCCCATTTATAATGTTTATATTGTTAATTCATGACTATTATATATTATATATATACTATTATATAATATCCTTACAATGTAATTTTTTTTTTGCTTTTTTATTTACAATGTTTATATTGTTAATTTTTATGAACAGAGTTTATCTGAAGGATAGCATTTATATTATTATCTCAGATTTTTTTATCTTTAGTTTTATATGTATTGTCTATACAGCAATAAGTAACAAACTGTAACCTTGCTAAGTAATTAACCTTGCTATCCATTTGCTGCTGTAGCTCTGTGAATTTCCGTGCTGTGGGAGTAACAAAGGATTATCTTATCTTATTATACATTATATTAGAAATATTGTATATAAAATTATAAATAAATAAAAATTACACCTTTTTAAAACTTTAATGACTATTTGAAAGTTCTGACTCCTCATTACTAGAAACTCAGTGTTACATTGTGACTCTAAACTCCAATCTAATTTCATTTGTTTGAACAGCGTTCTGTAAAGCTTGGCCAACCACACCACATCTGCTATGACATAACACATCTGTGTGCGGAGCATGTAGAAGCCAATTGCAATATAATCACAATATGCCATTTCATCCATATCGTGCAGCCCACATGAAAAACACTGTACTATAAAGAACTAATGCTGAGCAGTGAGTCCTGCTGCAGGCAGATGCTAGTCAACCAAAGCTGGGTTTGATCAACTAATACTTTGTCCTAAATAACAGAAAGAAAGAAAACGGGCAGCTCTGTTGCTCAGTGTGGTCATGCTATGGCTGAATAACAGCATGAAGCCCACAAGAGAGAGCTGGTGATGCCGGTACAGTGGCCCAGTCACGGAACCTAATCTCTCAGTTCAGTTCAGTTCAGTTCAGTTCTCTAGGCTTTATTGGCACATCTCGGCTGCTTTACATGCAACACAGCCAATGCAATTACAAAATGACAAGCAATACAGTCGTACATTTGGTGGTAATGTAACATGAACAGCATTATCTTAAAGGGCCTTTATTCTTTCTTGCATTTCATTCTATAGTCATAAATAATATCTTAACCCCTCTTTATCCCTCAGCATTAATCTGGCTGTTTTTGTTACTCTGCCTTTAAGACTGATATATTTAAATGACCTCTATTGTGATTGGCTGCCCTCTGTTGTGCTTCATGCAAAAAGCAATTTGGCATTAAAACACTCTTGGGCGGGGCTAAAGTGCTGTAGAATAGGTGGAGTTGTATCAAGGTGTTGTGACATCACAAAATCAGTCAGTTCAAAACAGGCTCATTTTCCCTTTATGAGCTCTAAGGAGTGGGGAGTAACCGGCACAGCATGTTCTCATACTTCTTTAAGGGCTTATTCCGAAAATGTGAGGAGAAATAGGGTTTTCCATGATATGAACCCTTTAAAATATACACGTGTGTATATAGCAACAAACAAACAGGCAAAAACAAACATAGGGGGAAAAAACAAACAAGAAATCTCTCTCCTGCAGAGATGCAATTCTCACCATGTGCCATGTTCAAATAGGTGCATAAAAACCTTTTGCACACTGCGGCATGCACAGACAGACATACAGGGGCATGAAGGGTTTAACGCAAACGGAGGTGGGGGGGGCAAGGAGGTGGGCAAGGGGATGGGTAATGGGGGGACACACCAAACCCTGACCCATATCTCCAGAGTCAAGGCCATCAAAGGTGTGCAGAGGCATTCAATCAACCAGAGCAAACATATATATATATATATATATATATATATATATATATATATATATATATATATATATATATACACGCACGTTAGGTTTAAAAACGTGACAGCTCTGCGTGTGCTCCAATCTCAAGAGCGCGTTGCGTGCATTCGGTCCGTGTGCGTGCGTGTCCTTGAAACGCACGAGCTATTGCATTGCATTGCATTGCACTGCCGAGACAGCTGGGTTTTTACAACACCGGTGTCTCGTGCATGCATGCAGAGCTGCACTGCAGAACCCGTGCAACCAGCCAACCACCACCACTACCAGCATGCACCCTCTTTCTGTCCTCTCTCTTTCTCTCCGGACTCACCTGCCTCGGTCAGCAAGGCTGACATGCACCACGCCACACACAGCACGCTGCACACACAGCCCGCCTGCGCCAGCAGCAGCTCGCGCCTCTTGCGAACTTTGAAGAGCCTCGTGATGACGGTTTTCTTCGAGACGGTCATGATGCTGCTGCCGCTGCTGCTGCTGTCGTGTGCGCTCGTGGACGGATGTGCTCGTGGGCTTCAGCGCGCGGTCCTCATCGCCGAATATTGGGGGAGAGAAATGACAGAAGCCCAAAAGCAGCAGCAGCACGCGAGCTCCCCTCACTTCTGCATGCCTGCGTTTCTAACCCCCCCGCCTCCAGCTCCAGATCCCCCCACTGACACCACTGAGACCACTACGCCTTCACAGCTTCAGACCGCGCTCCGGACTCTTCCACAGCGGAGCAAGCTGCAGCCCAGCGCTCGCTCACTCACTCCATGTTGAGCGGCGCGCGTGCGTGTCGTATTCGTCCTCCAAAATGAGCTATGGGTCCCCCTGTACACCTGCACGCGGGCACTCGCTCTCTCTCTCTCTATCTCCCTCTCTCCGAGTTTGTGCATCAAGGTTAATTGCTTGCTCGCTGTGGCTGTGAGCGCGTGGTGATGTGAGCGAGCACCGCCCCCTGAAGTGTACACATACACGCCTAAATGAGGACATATATATATATATATATATATATATATATATATATATATATATATATATATGGTAGTGTGTGTATATACACCGATCAGGCATAACACCTCCTTGTTTCTATGCTCATTGTCCATTTTATCAGCTCCACTTACTATATAGGAGCACTTTGTAGTTCTACAGTTACAGACTGTAGTCCATCTGTTTCTCTGCATGCTTTGTTAGCCCCCTTTTACCCTGTTCTTCAGTGGTCAGGACCCCCATGGACCCTCACAGAGCAGGTACTATGTGAGTGGTGGATCATTCTCAGCACTGCAGTAACACTGACGTGGTGGTGGTGTGTTAGTGTGTGTGGATCAGACACAGCAGTGCTGCTGGAGTTTTTAAATACCTCAGTGTCACTGCTGGACTGAGAATAGTCCACCAACCAAAAATATCCAGCCAACAGCGTCCTGTGACCACTGATGAAGGACTAGAGGATGACCAACACAGCAGCAGCAGATGAGCTATCATCTCTGACTTTACATCTACAAGGTGGACTGACAAGGTAGGAGTGTCTAATAGAGTGGACAGTCAGTGGACACAGTGTTTAAGAACTCCAGCAGCACTGCTGTGTCTGATCCACTCAGACCAGCGCAACACACACTAACACACCACCACATCAGTGTTACTGCAGTGCTGAGAATGATCCACCACCAAAGTAATACATGCTCTGTGGTGGTCCTGAGGGTGTCCTGACCACTGAAGAACAGGGTAAAAGGGGGCTAACAAAGTATGCAGAGAAACAGATGGACTACAGTCTGTAACTGTAGAACTACAAAGTGCTCCTATATGGTCAGTGGAGCTGATAAAATGGACAATGGGTGTAAATAAAAGGTATTTAATAAAGTGGCTGGTCAGTGGATGTGTGTATATTTGGATCATTCTACCAAATTAGTCCAAAGTATCACAAAGTATCAAAGTATTTCAGACTTTTAACTGACTTGGAAATTAGATTAAAATCATTTTGATTTGAGTGACCCTGTACATTAATAATGTTTATGTTATTAAAATAAATAATTGAACATTCCATTTTGAGACTAACAAAATAATCATAACACTAGCAAAACTTTACCAAATGTTTCAGTAGTGACAATATTAGCTCATTTTGAGCAGAACTCAAAAAACACCAGTCAGTACATGACTAGTAAACACAGCTTTTAACAGCTGTACACACATAAAATCATAATCTTTTTTATTAAAATACAAAAAAAAGTTTGCAGAAAATATGGGGCAATTCTTATTGTTACACACTGACTTTCAGACTTTGGGACACATTTACTTGTAATTGTGCATTAAAAAAGTGCAGAGGTGTGTTCTCTGTAGAGGGTGTGTTAACTTCTTTTCACTTTGTAAGTTCAGACCATGCCTTGAACATGGTGGTGGTAGTATGAGGGAAGAATAATTAAGGGAGGGGGGTAAACTCTGAGAACTTGGGCTGGAGTTCTGGGCAGCTTCTGCCTGTAGCTAGAAGGCCAGATCCCCCTCATAGCTTTGGTAGGACTGATGTAGGACTGAAGAGGATTGTGAATACTTGCAAATGGAAACAGATGGTGAGGATGTGAATTTATAGTCGTTACATATGTATATATGGAAAAACATTCTTAACTTTTAGTGGAACTAAGTGGAGAAATATATTTTTCAAGCAATTTTGGACATTTTTTTTGGTCAGTTCATCATGAAATTTTGACACAAACATAATGGTCAACTGCCTTTTTCAAATTATGTCAAAAACTAAAAAATTACAAACTTGGAAATACGAGGTTTTGTTCCAACAACAGCTACATATATATATATATATATATATATATATATACACAAACACATGTGAGTGTGTGAGTGTGTGTGTGTGTGTGTGTGCGTGTCTGCCTGCTCTGTCCTGTTTCGTGTCTGCTGGGTTTTGGTCTCACACTCCTGTGCAGTGTACAGAGGCCATCCCTATTAAAGCGCTGTATTAATAGACCGCTTTGCCATAATGAACTCAATTCCCATCGTTGAGCTTTTAATTGCTTGCCCTGTTCAATTAAGTGTTGATGACATTCTGGCTAATGGAAAATCACACTCTCCAGCGCCACACCATCACAAAGCAGACACACCTGGGCGCTGAGGGCAGGATAACCTGTGGCCTGAAGATGATGAGCGTGTAACAGAGGTCAAAGCTAACGGTTCACACCAGCAGTTCACCTCCAGAGTCTGGAGCTTTACATACTGAACCTGAATCAGCGCTCAGGCCTCTTTCATAGACCTAGGCCTGCCATTATGAATGTTATGTAAATGGCAAACACACTACAGGCCAAAAATATGGAAGCAAGCAGTGACCTTAAAGATTATTTTTAGAATGACATAAATTTGCCAGCAGAAATCACAACATGTTAACTGGCATCTAGTTTCACCAAAGACGTTTTTTCCACCGGGCTGCAGTGATGCGTTATACAGGGAAAACTTTCACAGTGTTTGCTTGTAACAGTTCCTGACAGCAAACCGTTTTGAAGGAGCTGTATCACAGAAAACTTAATTTGACTTTTTACATTTATTTTTATGTTAAAATGATGATGTAAACATTAGAAAAGTTTCAAAACCTACTGTTCACTCTTCAGTCCATATATGGAAAAAAAAACTACAAAAACAGCTAAAATTAATTAAAATTTTTCATGGTTGTGATGTCACAACCACACAACCATGAACAGTTTGATCAGTTTAGCCCCATCCATTAAATTTACAGCAGTTTAGCCCTGGTATTATTAATTTCCTATATCTCTGCAGTAAATGTGTAATTGTTTATTAGAATAAATACAATTAACAATCCATTCTGATTGTTCTGTTTGTGAATATGATTCACAAGAAGTCAACTTCTTATTCTTATTTCCTGTTCCACCTTAAATAATGTATCAGTTACATTTAGACGATTGTTCGGGCGCTAGCATGTAAATGCTGCACTATTTAAGATGGAACAAAAATTCAAATAGGAATCTAACATCAGCCTCGAGAGATTATCAGTTTAAGTGTGATGATGTAGTGCAGACTAACAGAGCAGACAGACAGAGCTCTAATGAGTTTATTACTGTTTTCGCTGCTCTTTCATATTTGAATTATGTGAAGAGGCAAGAACCACAGAAAATCGAGGTATTTAAAAAGCTAGTTAGGGAGGATGAGGACATATTCGAGCAGGTGGGCAGTGAGAAATGTTGACAGCATGTTAAGTTACTTTGCTAACATTAGCATCATTTGTAGCGCATTGACTGTCAGGACTGTCAAATACAAAAATACAAAAAAAGTTTTCATTTCTCCCAACAGAAACTCTGAAAGTTGTAATGAGTTAGCTTTGCGTTCTGGTTGTGGTTGTTGTGGTCATGGTGGGCCAAACAAACAAGTGTTTATCTGAACCCCCACTAGGCCATCTTATTTGAAGGCCTGTTAATGAAGCTCTTTCTTTCAAATTAATTTGATTCCCTCTTTTAAAGTGCAAATAGCATGTAAATGATGCATTCCATTAGGAATTTACACTGTCCACCAGTTACATCATGCAAAACAGAACTAAAAATCTGAAAAAGCTTTAAGATCTCAGTTACTGAACACTGTATGCGGACTAGTTTTGGTGAATTGATTTTTTTTATTGTTGTTGTTGTTGTTCTGCTCCAATCGAGTGATAGACTGATTCTTACATTCCAAATCTATAGATTTTACTGTTTTTACACCTAATTCAACTCTTCAGTGATTTAGTTCTGTTAGAAATCTTTGGGAAATGATTCAGTGCAACATAAATCTCAACTTTTACAGGATTTTAAAGTTTGATTATTTTGGTACGATACAGAATTATTTATGAAAATACACTGAATACATAAATTGTGAGTAAACAATATAAACAATACACAGAGCTTTTTTGAATTTCTATGCTTGAAAATTGCCCAAGAATATTATTTTGCCGAAAATGGGCAACTACTACTTTACATATTCTCTCTCTCTCTCTCTGTGGTGAATACTGGTGGTGTCTCTCTCTCTCTCTCTCTCTCTCTCTCTCTTTCTCTTTCTCTGTGTGGTGAATACTGGTGGTGTCTCTCTCTCTCTCTCTCTCTCTCTCTCTCTCTCTCTCTCTATGTGTGTGTGTGTGTGAGTGTGTGGTGAGTGGTGGTCTTTTCTCTGATGTGGGGGGGCAGAGGGGGGTGCAGAGTTGGAGTAAAGCTGGTTAAGCTCTGCCTGGCACAGACTCTGCTGTGTTAATCCGCTGATGCTGACAGTGTGCAGTCTGGACTGCTTGTGAATCTTTATTCACTTCGGTCCAAGTTTTTCTTCACATGTAAAAATCATAGTATGTGTGTTGTAGTGAAATTCAAACAGGATCCCAGGACTGTGAACAATACAGTTAAATAAAACAACAACATTCAACATTTGAAAATAATTTTAACTCATTATAACTCAAACTTAAATATTGTATTTTTTTTCTGCAAAGCTTAATGTACAATTTCTTTGTATTTGCAGAGTTTAACGTATTGTAACGTTTCTGCTAATGACCGAGGACACAGATCCCGCTCCAGCTGTAGGCTTTATTTAAGGCAGTCTCTGGCTGCAGCCTTGTCTCACAAAGAAGAAATATGCTAACAGTGTGCACCACCCTAAGTTACGTCAAGCTCACTTGGCTGTCAGCTGCAGACGAACTCTGATCTCCCTGAACTCAGCAAAACTCTATCAGAAGGCTTCACAATAAGAGTCCCTGGAAAGAAAAAACTGCTGCAGAAGAATCAGAATAAACAACTTCTGAGCTTGTTACAGTACTGTAAAAAATAAAATGTAAAATATGCCGCATCTTCTGCACACACTGCATTTTATGTTATGTTTTCAGAGTAATTGTAAATGTAA